TCAGAAATGATTATCTCACTCTTGACATACCTTAGTCCTACCAATCATAATTGTCACAATAAATTACAAGTTTGATTGAAATTGTAGATGTGAATTACTTGATTCCAACTCAGTTTTCTCATGGTTAAACACTTACTAGGAAACCTAAATGTACTTACTAGGTTCAATCTCTTATCAGGTTATGAGTGCACACTGCTAGATATTGTACTATTATAGTGACATGAAATACTTTTTGATTGATCGTTGCTCTTGATTTTCAATTGTAACTTGATGTCAAGGAGTCATAAAAATCATCTATGAAGAAAATTTATCTTAAAAAACTTATTAATTTAATACATAATTTTCTTACTCTAATTTTTATCTATTGTCGTAATTATTAGTCGTTTAAATATAACTTAACTTTTATTTCGGAAACAAAAGTAGGTTGTTGGATTTTGAATCACAGTGAAAAACATAAACATTCGGAGTATGCGGACGCATCCAGCATATTTGTGTCAATTAGGACAAAACACTCATACAAGATCCCATTAAAATAGAAACTGTCTATAATATGATCAACTTCTAAATAAAAGCAATATATCAAGATGTTCTGGTTCGAGAAACTAATATTCCAGTCGTAAATATATCTAGATGTAGTTATTGTGGTGCTGTTACGATAGTAACTTCACATCTCTAACTTGATTGTACGTTTATGAGAGTAATACACGCTTGAATTATTTCATGGAACCTATCTAATTAATACAAGCTATCTTGTCGATTCTCCGTACATTTTATTTCTCATAGTCTTCCATACAGGAGCCGATGGACTAATTTTGTTTGTCTGGATAGTTTTCCTTGTTTGCAAGAATCGTATATCATTTGAAGATGGATCATAGTGAACTTTAATGTGCATACCTTAACTAAGTATTTTAGGATCTCTTGATGCTCATTACACCTACTATACTGGTTAAAACTAAGGAAAACAAACTATTATTAGTGTGACTTAATGTTTCTGTAGTGTGATCTGGCTAGAGGTGGTCCGAAGTAGATCCTATTTGACATAGGTTTTGCGCTAGTTATCATCTGTTAACAAGGTGTAAACCGCAGTCTTGAGATAACCACTACTTTCTGACGGATTCATATATCCAGAATTTAATCATCTAAGTTAATCACAATGATTGAAAAATAGCCTTCTGCTCTCACTATTATTACATCTGTGATTTGTATATGTTACAATATCTATTACAGATGGTCTACTTCTGGTGATATTCATGATCCTATTCAAATATGTACACAAAGTTTTATATGTGCCCTTGTTTCAAATCTTTATAAAAATGGTAAGTTTATGTTGTACTAAGTTGTATTCGTTATTTCTAATAATCAGCCCGTTTTTATTTATTCCCACAAATATTCCAATTTAGTGTAAACCTCACCAGTAATCTCGTGAACTGTATGATCGATTTGTTCTGACTCAACTCATAATCTTCAACATAATAAGATAGATAAATGAAAGCACCAAGTTGTCTTGATTTTATAATACTTTCTAAACGTATCTAACCGTTAATGAGGATATTGTTTCCTACTTTTACTAGTCTGTGATTTGTTTTGAAATAATTTCATCTTGTGTTAATGTAGTGCGTTATCTTGAACTGACGCGGATATTAATCAAGTTCTTTGTATTACATATGTTTGACTATATACTTGGCTAACTAAGCTATTTAAGTGAGAAAACTAAAGTGTAATTGATAAAACTGAGTAATTAAGTACATCAATCATTAGTACATTTACATTTGTTTTTCCAGATACAAACAAGGACATGTAGGTTTAAGCCTATACAAATAACAACATAATCGACTTCCTCCAATGGCGTGTCCCGTTTATTATTTCTCATTAACTTCTGTCCAACTTTGAGATGGCATGTGAGTGTATGCAAGGGATATGGACAAATTCTCTCAACCTGTCACACACTACTATTTATTGCGAGCAATTTAGTGAACTAAACAGACTGAATAGTAACTTTTTGTCTGGTAATTAGTTTATCACTTATTTATTTATTACAGCTCACCCACATTAACTTACATCATATTTGCAATACAACTCTAAAATACCGTGTAAATTGGCTGGTTTTGGTTGTGATCTTTTCATTGTATTATCTCTGAGTCACACCGAATCTATACATGGTTTATATTGCCCAAAAACTGAAATTAAAGCAGTTGAAAGCGATCAAACCTGTTAGTATTGTCTGAAGATATAGCTATTTTGTCGAATTCTGCGTTTTTGTTTTGTTAAATTCATCATCTCTGTTGTCCACACGCTTTGAAATGTTCGAAACATTGTAAAAATTAATTATTTGACACTGAGTATCACGGAAAATGAGCGTAGTTAAGTTTCTTAAATCACTTTTAGACATGGTATTTCGGATGTAATTACGGCAACTATGCGTTTATGATCAACACATAATTGTTTTAATAACTAGAGATGCGATCTCTAAATAATTCGGTTTTATTTGACTCAATTATAGACTGATTACTGGTACAGTAAAAGATTAAGTTACGAAACTAATATAATACATGCAATTTACAAGATTAATCATTGAACATACTTCACATGTATGTGATAGTTCAACACTAACCAAGGATATTTTATCATAATCTTCATTGTAATCTGTCAGTCAGTTGGTTATATGCAATATGAAACCTGGTACATGTGTATATCGGTTCATGTTGCCGCACATACATTTAAATGAGAGGTTTGTGGAAGTTCAAAGTCGATTTTTTTTATCCTGTCTCTTGCACTTCGAGTTTTATAAAATGCTTAAGTTGAGATATTTACGAGGCCTAGTCAGCATGGACTTGTCAACTCCATGGGATGGTAAAGTGGTTGCTCTATTGTTTCTCAGTTTGTAAATCCAGCCCCAAGGATGAAATACATTTATTTCCGCATTTACTCAGTTGATATCGATAAATAATGGGAACAGAATTCTAATTATCATCTTTCTTTTAAAATTGATTTTACTGACAAAACTGTCAAGTAATATGAACCACGGGTACACTAACCAATAATATACATACTCCTACTTAAACTTTAACTTCATCAAGTCACTAATCTGACTAGCCGTTTTTGTCATAATTTACTAGTTAAATAACTTCCAATCGAACACATCACCATGAAAGTTGATATGTACAATGAAACTGTCACAAGATCCGAATCGATGACACAACAGCACAACTTCACTATCCTCAATAATATATATATATATATATATATATATATATATATATATATATACGGGTTGTCCATGCGAACCAGTTGCTCAGCATACGAGTTTCTAGGCGCCAACTCCAACATTACTCGAACAATTTAGAATTATTTGAAGATGGATATTCCAAAAAAGTGCTTTCCTTATTTATTTCTGGTCAGATCTCTAGATAATAAGGTATTGTCCTAAAATAGTTTGTTTAAAATTTGTATCCATATACGGGCAGTGTGTTTGTGTTTTCCAATCAAATTTTCAGGTGTGGATGTAATTTCCTTGTTACCAAGCCCAGAGCAATTGTTTGCTGCTGATGAATTAACAGACCTGGTCAAAGATCCACAATTTCATTATCTTATTGAATCTGGTTTTGAGCATATGCGAAATCTTTTAACAAAACAAAACTGTAATACACCGCAAGATGTTGTAATGACTGATATATGTGTATAGAATATTATCTTAATTATATATGTATTTATTTATGTACTCTAAGATAATTTGTTTGTATAAATAAGATTTATGTATAATAAACTTTTGTTTTTGTCTATATATTAATCCAATTAACGTGGCTATTTGTTTCCGATCACTATCTTGTTAACTTCATCCATGCATGCTTAACTATCACCTACACAAATTTGTAGCGTCCACTGGTATGGAGCTAGGTTGGAAGAAGCCCAAGAACGGTCGTGTCGTGAAATGAGGTCAACTAATGCAGCCATTGACTGCTAATCTGAGCTATGTCAGTAGATGCAAACTTCCAGGCTCAAGGCTCCCGCAATACTCTTAATCAGGAGGACTGAGTGACGTAGTGCATCTCAACGACGTTCTTCAGCAGACTCTGAAGCTGTGTAGTTGGTGTAGCTAAATGGATAAATGTCAAGGAAAATATAAGAGGGTACTATTTAGTTTGGGGTTGACTCCCGAGTTTGCCTTTTGAGGTGGTCCGCTAAACTATTTATGTATTAGATGATTCTATCAGTCGTTTTTCCTTTCACTTGCAATTAATCTGGATAATTAATTAAGTCGATACGGTAATCAACCCTATTAAATCTGCTTAACTTTAGCTTGGAAATTTTTCCCTCACTGCTTCTCATCGTTTTTGGTCAGGACAGTGTGTTGGAAAAGTGACGAACTCATTTTATCGACTTAATGGAGAGTTGAATAGCACCGCTTCACATCAAGTCCAGCTAAGTTTCATACGCAAATTTGTACATACTTTACTGAGTTACAGTCAGTCTGTTGTGTTCTCCAGCTCGGTCCAGTTAAGATACACACTTTTAACTTCTACCGAACTCACTATGCAATTGGAGAGACTAGAACGAACGGGAAGACTTACTCGTCAGGCCGAATTGTACGGTACACAAACTACAGGTATATATCCATATATATATTTGTTCTTCTGATCCTGACAAGGATATGTCAGCTGAGATCTCAACTTATGGCATAATCTACTCCCTCCAACGAAGCTTTCCCCAACCACGTGGCTGTTTAATTTCTACGACATCGTGTACTCTATCCAGACATTCCCAGCTTATCACTAACTCATCCTTATTCTCATGATCGTTTTTTTTAATATCCTCTACTAAACACAAACTAACTTGTGCTTGATTCGGATTTCCAGCTTCTGCTTACTAATGTGAGTAAGCTATGTGCGACAAATTAGTAACCTGGATGCAGTTCAAATCACTGAAGACTATTTACTGTTGGGTTAGCTCAACAATAAAATAAGTCATTTTTGCTCTGTATACAATATAGAGAAAACTACATTACAATATCTAAAATATTATATTGAGAAAATCAATATGAATTTTGATAAAACAATTTAGTAGATATATAAAAATGTTGCAGGAAGTTGGATTATAAGTGGACACAGTTTGAGAACTAACAACACAAACAGCGATAACAACAAAAATGAACAGGCTTTTTTTATCCATTCAACAGCTGTTTGTCAAGTTTTATTCAAGTTAGATAAAAATATTTATATAGAAGAATATTATCTTAAATGTTGAATACATCTCTGTAGAATCTGTGAATTTTGTATAATGGGATCTAAAACATACACGAACAAAATAAAAAAATACGTTGAATAGATTTGCAAGAGCAATTCGAGTGTATTATTATACCAAACAACAGAAGAGATTGTTTCGTGGAAGTTAATATTAGTGAATATTGTTATCAGTAGGGATGTTAATTGACAGGTACACTCCTGCTCACTTACTACTAAATGACTATTTGTAATATGTACTTGCCTACAGGTTATATAACTGTTTTACTTGTTATTGTCTTTTTCTTTCTAACTTGTATTTTATATGTATGTCGATTTATTGTCATGAGTTATTGACATTTACTTAAGCTACGCACTATATTTTGCAAATGACAGTCTCACGGAGTCTAAACAATCTTATTCATTAAATGAAATATTCTCATTTTGTTTGTTGTACGACGGTTCGGCTTTCAAAATCCAGTTTGATTGTTCACCAGCCTTTGTAGACTATCTTAGAGTTTTGTCGCTCACTTAGTTGATCATTATCTGTACGAAAATCCCACAGTTGAAGGTGTTTATCATATTACTTCTTAGTTGCATTTATCTTAATAGTTGTACATCTCTAGAAGCTTATGGGGTTCTCTTATTTATCCCTTGAATTTCAATTTAAACAAACATCCGCATAGTTTGTGTCGAATCTCAGAATGAGCATCAATTCTGGGATGCAAGTACATCCAGCTGACAAGTCCAAAATGGAACGGAAAGCGCGTTCTAGAGTCTACTACCACTACTAGCCACCAGGCAACTCTGCTTAAAAAATGCTTGTAACCTAATGGAACTCTCGGGGCAATTCGCACAGGACGTGGATATGCTAAAAGTGACTGTTCGATTGTAGTCCGCAGCATCAACGGGAAAATTCAAACAACCAGTGCACATGAATATGTAATTCAGTATCGAGTCGTTTATGCATCATACACTTACACTTGATTGAAATATTTTCAAACCTATTTCAGTGAGGGCATTTGTTTAAACATCAGAACAAATTTTTTATGTGATTATTTAAAATAGTCAAGTGAAATATTTAAAACTGATAACATATTCAAATATGTATTCGTTTGTGAAAGCACATGACTTAAATTACAGGACATGCGTAGGCTACTAGTATTCGATCATAGATGGTACTTTAAAATTCATTTCCTCGTCTCAAATTATATTTTCAATGTAGAGTCTTTCTCAATATCATAGCTACTGTTACTACTACTCTTACCATTTCAACTACATTGCCAATGGAGAATCCTGATTGTTGGCCTACGCTCCACGAGATGTAACAAGCATAATTAATTAATTATATAAGTCATTGATCTTATTAATTTCACTTCACTATGCTATAATGTGACGATTCGGGCTGATGTACATTTTTCCCAAGTTCTACGTTGATTATGACCGTACATATAATAAATCTGTAACTGTAAAAAGTATTTGAAATGTGTTCATTACACTTCTTTTTTAAACAGAAAAAAAAGTCATTGATTTGCACTATATCTTAAATGATAATCACTTTAAATACGCAAAACTATTAACGATGGAAATATCCATAGAAACATTAGTTGGCAAACTACGTTGATTTTTATCTACTGACTTCTTCTGATTGGTCGATCTCAGTCATTCATTTTTATCCTTTCTTATTTATTTTATTTATAACATTCGTATTATTTTCAGGTTTCGTTAATTTTAATTTCACTGTACTTATATGAATCGTGAGAATGCGAGCGAACAGACATTTATGCATCATTATTTTAATCGTCTGCCGAGAAATAGTCGTTTAATTTTTGTTGTCCATTCAAATCTTGTGTCAACTCATATCCACCAAAAAAAGAACAAAACTACGTAGAATATGCACTCAATAAAAAGTAGAATTAAAATTAAGTTAGTCACCAGGAACAAAGAATCTAGCACATATTATGTGTATTGGTTCAAGTTCCCATACAACATCAACACAAGGAGATGGAATTATCATAATAAATGTCAAAGTAGTAAAATAAATAAATATCATTGGTAGTAGAAGAGACTAGACCCAGACAATATGATTCAAGAAGGAAGAATCAATTCTTGGAATAAGAAGTATGTGACAACTAAAAAACGCAAGATCTAAAAGTAGAGAAAAAGTGGATGCACCTGCATCATTGCAAGCAATTCTGAACCGTACAACTTAACATCACTAGCCACTAATTACGATAATCGCACAGACTCCAACCAAATAGTCTGCGCCTATCTACACGGCTTACCCAATAATTTTGTGAACTGATGATATGTTTTAGTCAGGTCGACCCTAGATTTCTTTCAAACCACCATTACATACACGCCATCACCGCACGTCGATGCAATCTTTCTCTTATATATTACCACCTTTGACCTAACCACTGCTATGAATCCGGTGTTCATCTTGTTGTGCTGATGCGGTATGGCAACCTGGACCGATGCACATATGTGCCTAGTCCTACGTTGTAGCTGACTGACTGACGTCGATGTAGGCAGTGGTTGGGCATACATAATACATGTCCTAACCATTTCAGTCGATGAAGATTAATTGCTATCCTTACATAATACCCTACGTCTAACCTCACCATAACTCAATCAGTAGTCCCAACATACACAAGCAATGCATTTGAAGGCATCTAAGATCAAATGCTAGTAGCTTACAAATATCCTTTATTTTTAAGGGTCAAGTTTGACAGTAGAACTAAAATGTAAACATTTACTAGTCATTATCTTAATTCAATACTGATAATTTGAAACATTACACAAATAACAATTTAAAACAAACCAATGAAAAAAAGGGACTTACAAAAACTGATCTGCTGTACATTATTGTATTTCATCCTATTCATAACTAAATCAATATAGATAGATATATATACAAGAAATTTTATGTTGAAATAGAACCATTGAACTGTTCGCCTAATCAAGAAAAATTCACTATTTATTATTTAATAAAATTATAGATGACTTTGGTAATACTGATTCTAATAGAATAGTTATTTGTTTAGCTGTTTCTAGTACAACTTGTTCCGAATATTGTGTTTGAAAATCTTTTAATTTTTCAATTGTATCTGTTACAGCTTTTTTATAATCTAAACAAATGCTTGATTGATTTGTTGATTCAGTAACTACTACTATCGGTGGTTTAGATAAATTTTGATTGTTACATTGAAGCCAACGTTTACTTCGATATAGTAAGTCTATAAAAATAATAGAGAAATAAAATTGGATTATTTTGTTTGTTTTGTTACAAAAAAAAAGAAAAAATCATTTCTGTTTTTTTCAAAATTTTACTTCAAAAACTTACTGAACATTAAAATAATGAATCTTTCAGAAGGGGTTTTTGTGGAGATTGCAGTAATTTCAATAGTTGAGATCATGAGTCAATTAAAGCTAGACCACCATGGAAAACCTGGAAGCACTGAACGGCCGTTTCGCTCTATTGTGGGACTCAGCAGTGCGCATCCACGACCCCGGCTCAGTGGTCTAATGGTTAAGCGCCTGGTGCGAGACTGACAGGTCCTGGGTTCGAATCTTGCGAGGCAGGATCGTGGGTGCGCATTGCTGAGGATTCCCACAATAGGACGAAACGGCCGCTCAGTGCTTCCAGGTTTTCCATGGTGGTCTAGCTTTAATTGACTCATGATCTCAACTATTGAAATGAATCTTTCACTTAACTTATGTAGAGTTTTGCTCAGATCGAGTTGTTTCATTTATTTATTTTATTGGAATTCATAAATATTGGTACAAAGGGGCATTGAATAGATATGCGCCACATAAGTCACTTCATTTGTGTGTGAGCTGTGATACTGCCCGGGCACCCAGACAGAAGCAGGTAAGATCGAGTTGTATATTGTTGTTTTCTATCTGAATGAATGAATAAACAGATAAAAATGTTTTGATTCCCTTTAATAAGTTTTAAATTTTTGATTAACATTTTTCTAGTTGACTAGTATTGATTTAACGGTTTTTGTTTTTATGAATTGATAATGGGGGTATAATTTAGCACTAGTTGGATTAAATTTTTTTATTTTTGAAAGGAAACGATGTTAGGACACGACCATGTGTTGGATTTAGGTGCATAGCGAATTATCCTTGTCAGAATAATTACAATAATTAAAGTAATATCGTTTGAATTTGTACAGGTATGAGTTGTAACAATGAATAATTGTGTACACATTTTCCTGATTTATCTGGAAATTTTCCCTAAATGATAACTGCTGATAACTAAAGTTAGTAAATTTTCAAAGCCCGATATCAAAAAAAGTGAATAGAACATAAATTAATTGAAAGGTAGCTACTCATAGAAAGAATTATCACATTACCTTTATGTAGGCCATGAACCATAAACACCTTTAATAAATGTTCACAAGGAAGAAATGATGATATATTGAATGAACAAGAACATGTAGCATTGTCACGATCAACTTCGTATACAAATGAAGAATCTGCGCATAAAGCTAATTGTTCATTGGTGAAATCTATATTGACTTTATCAACTTTAGTTAAACGTTTGTAGACCATTTCTGCTGCATAATCAGTTAATTTTTCTAAAATATATTTAAATTTCTCTGATAAATTATTGTTATTATTTAGATTATTAGTAGAATTTCCAGGGAATGACAACGATGATGATGAGATAATACTGATACTAGGATAAACCCATTGCTTTCCAGCTTCATTATATATTATAGTCATAATTTCTTTAACAGAAGTAAGCTTTTTCAGTGGTTCTTTAAAGCTGAAATTTACACCTTTAATGATTTCAGCAGTACTGGCGCCAAGAGTTACAGCATCCAGACAATATGAAGCTGCCCACATTTTCTTTGTAGGAATCCATGTATTCACCACGTAATTATATGCATTAATACTCGTATTTTTTAATCTCTCCAGGTAATAATCAAATCTATAATATGTATTTTTAATGTTCAATTGGAATTGAAGAAAAAACACTTACTGTAAAGGAGATACTGTAGTAATCATTGCGTGAAAAACTGCAACAGCTGTGAGACTATCGCACTAAAGTTGACAGTAATAAAAGAATATAACTTATACCTACTTTTCTTGTAAATGATTCTTTAATAATGAAAGGATTCAGTAAGATTCTGGTTTTCGGAAACATTTTTTGTACAACATCCAACTGAACTATAGCACAATCCATTATAAATGTGCGAGTGTTATCAACGCTGCCAACAATACCGCAAAAATGATTTAATAGAATTTTTATCTCTTCTTTTTGTTGGATAGTGCTTATTGAATACATAATTGGTCTAGGACAACCAAAACCGTCAGTCACAACAAATTGAAATAATGAAAATCTGTGAATTAATGTGAATATTATTTTAAAACATATGGTTATTTGAAACAAACCCCGTTGAATTCACATCGTAAGCAGCGTTTAAAAGTACTACTTCTGGATATTGACGATATACGTCAACTTGTTCGTAACGTGCTAATGTAATTTGTGTTACTTGATCCGAAGAATTTCTTTCAATTCCAACATATGAATTCCGATTGATAATCGATAGAACCTGGTCCAAAGTTTCACTACCTATCAACCAATTTCATATTACGCAGTAATAAACAATATCGTACTTTGAGCTATTTGGTCTCGAATACTTGATATAACTATTGGATGATTAAAACTTTGATTATTTCCTTGGTTTTTCTTTCCATTCGATGCATCGATATGTCTTCTTTTATTTTCTGGTGCTTTCTTCGCTCGATTATTTGAAGAGTGACTATGATTATGTTCCTGATTTATAAAGGTAACTACATAACAATTATCAACCCATCGAACTTGGAATGCTGCAGTACATCCTTCATTACTAAGAGATTTAGGGAATAAATAAACTAATAACGAAAACTTACACACCATTGGTATTGTTCATATTCGGAGAGTTTGGTGGTCCAGTTGAATGAGAACATTTGTAATTAATGTACTTATACCGTGTCCCTTTATCAGTGTGCATTTTTTCGAAATCGCCCTTCACATAAGTAATACGCGTAACCTCTTGAGCATAAAATAGTGATTTTTCGAAATCAGCCCATTGATATAAAGGCCGTGACGTCATTACATTAAGAAATATCTTTTCAATATTTGCACTCATAGTTGATGACAAATTCAACGTTTTAAACTAATCGAAATGAAAGAACGGTACATAACAATTATGAACAGTCATGCAATTTAGGAAAATGGGATAACTGTCTTGATTCCCAGAATTAATGTATACATAAAACATTTGAGCATAGTATATAATGCAGGAATAACAAGCCAGAGCTTATAAGATATGTCCACAAAAATGTTATGAAAAAGGCTTGCTCATACACTTTTATGGACACTACTTGAATATCATTCAGAGACATGTGCGACTTTCAATTCATAGAAGGTAAATCTTGAGACTAACCGTAATTAAGTAATTATTTTCCTAAAAACAGCACAGCAGTATTTTACCAGTCCGTTAGTCATAAGTAACGTAAAACATGGGACATATGTGAATCGGTTCAATTTGCCACATAATATTAGTACAAAAAGAAGAAATTATGAAAGTGACTACCTAAATATTAGCAGTTTTATCGGTGGTAGTAAAAAAGACTAGGTATGTGGAATATGATTCAAGAAGAAAGAATTCATAAAATAAATGTACAAAGTAATTTTGAAACTAAAAATCAGGATAATATGTCTGGGTATTTTATAAGGTTATGAGAATTCAGTTGACTGTATGAATTAATGTCATCCATCTTCAATATAGTCTCCAGTTTTCAACAACGTGATGATATTCATTACATCGTCCTTAAAAGAAGTCCCACAGGATTTACTGGTTGGTGTAATTGAACCCTGCCTTTAAGTATATAAATATAGGCAGTGACGATACCACAAATGTGTGAAAAGAATCCACGCAAATGTTTGAAGACAGCTGTATTCAGAACAGCTCATTATTTTTTTAAATCAATATGTTAGCAAAAAATGCAAGTAACAACAGGTATTACGAATTTTGCCTGTCCTTATGAAGTCACGATGAGTACAGCATTTCAATAACTAGGATCTAAATGAGTGAGCTTCTGAAACTCCATAGAAACAGATTAATGGATCCTGTGACACCTGGTGGAATATTTAAAAAACATAGATACACAGTTAGTTCCATTCAAAACCAGATTTTTGTGTTAAATATTTTAACGTAGGTTTTCTTACCCACTAAACAAGTTAGTGACCAGTTGTTTTGTCCTTTGCTATTCATTTAGTGCAGACTCGTGCGCAGTCATACTAAGACGAAATTTCACACAAACATATAAGCATCCAAGCTCCATTCAGGCAGCCAAGTGATCATTGTCCACATAAAATCTCTTATTTGTAACGGCGTGATGATGCAGAAAACCAGTTACACAGCTAAAAAATATTACCGTGTCTCTAAACTTGGGTACGTTGCTGGTAAATCCTGATTACCCACATCAAGAAAAGAGACATCACGAAGTATTAGAAGGGGAAAGTGGGCTAGCGATTACAGAGCCCAATAACTATCTGCTTGAGCTCCATAAAATAATATCTATTTTAAAAAACGGAAGGGGGTTTTGTTGAGTTTATCTGTTCCAATATACCGACGCTAGAAAAGGAAAGCCATGGTCATTGTGAATCACACAACTCTTGGGACGGTCTCTCTTTCTTACTGTCATAATATGAAGGCAGTATTGTTTGAAATATCTGTCTTTGGGGAGAATATTCTCTTACTACTGTTCTAGTGAATTTAGTAATACGATATTATAGTTACGTATGAGTAAAATGACGACCTTTGGCTTCAGTGCTTTGTAATCAACTTTCTTAAATGATAAGCATCCAGAGAACAGTAATTCCACTGAATGTAGTTTGAGTCGGTCACTGAAATTGTAAACCTGACTATCAATTCAAGTTCACTGCTGTGGTTCGGGTATTGTTGTTTTAATAAGAGTTATCTTTAACAGCAAGTTATCCAGACCCTATAACTGAAGGGTTTCCTGTTTAAGAGCATAGGTTTTAGTCCATCTGATATTTGTCTTGATTGTTTTCTAAAAGTTAACCGAACTCTATTCATGCAGGCCTTCAAATCACTGACCTTTTGATAACAGCAGATTCCCATTATTATTCAAATTCCACCCTGGAAAGTCTACTTCCAAACATTTTACCAACTTTTTCAATATTTTGGAAGTATAATTCATCGGTGTGCTTTAAATCCCAAGCTCCCAATTTTGGGGAAAATTTGGCCCATTTTGGAAAAGCCGCTATAGTAAATTTTGGGGAAATGGCGCAAAAACCCCGAAATTTCCTCAGACCTGGGGAAGTTTCCCCAAAGTTGGGGGCTTGGGATGAGTGTACTAGTTAGTGTTAGGGTTCATGACTACTTTTTGAATTGAGCCTAATCTGACTTCCATTCACTTAAGCAACTATTTAGCCCAAATGACCACAGTGGGATTTAGATAACAATTAAAATACAATTCCCAAACTACTCACGACGACACTATGATTTAAGGACGACCTTTGAACGACGCCGAAGTGACCTTGAGAATGTCCAATTTGCTAGAGCTTAATGAAAGTTATAAACATGTGAAGAACAAAGATTATGATTTACAGTTGATGGTAAGGGTGAGGATTTAGATTTATATTTTACATCACAAAATGGCATCAGATGGAACCACGAAACTCGATTTAGCCAAATAGACGAATGAACTTCACGCTTAATTCCAAGACTTGTTATACTAAACCTGATTAGCTTGTCCGTAAATTATAGTCTCACCGTCAGTCTACTTAGCGACCAATCAGAATAAAATGGAGATTATCATTTCCGTCATATTTCCAAACAATAACGGTCAGTTTGCTTTGTCCGGTGTGTTTTTACGTTTTTTTACAGTCCGTATTAACTCTGGGAAAATTGTATAATAGCAATGATCTTAAAATATAGTCCAAGCTAGCCGTACAGTCTACAAACGCACGTCAAACATACTTATCACCTTTTTTCAAAATGAATACTACTTTAAAATGCATGACAACAGCAGCATCCAAAGTACTTTTTCTATTTATTAGCACATTGATTTACATCGATATACTCATCAAGAGAAGGCTGATATGGTAGTCACTACAATTTCTCTATCGTTCAAGTCAAAGGCTACATTAAAACAATGCATCCATATCACTACTATCATACGTGGAATTTATAAACGAGTGATATATTTGGGCTAGTGGGAATATAACAAATATGGCACTTCAAGATCAAACCCCCCTGTACTGTACAAGTTCTAAGCTCTTAACTTCAGCTAGTTGCTCTGTAATGTATGCATAACCTTAAAATGACCGTTTCCTAGTCTTGACGGTTAAACACACTGTAGGAAGCGGAAGATTGGGCAGATCTGCTTACTAATTTGGTTTGCGTCACTACTTCCTTCAAGCACTATAATTATATTTACTGAACTGAATTATAAGATACCAACGTATGCTAAACTAAACAGGTATCATAATTATTGTTTTACCTTCACATACATGTTATTTAAATTAGTTGAATATAGAAAACTAAGCCTACAAACCCAAAAAACGAACTATATACTAGTAAAACCTAAAAGAGAACAAACGATATTCTTTCCAGTTTGAAGGTAACAGTAATTTATGCATCAAAACATAATTTACAGCAAAAAAACTTTTCTCCAGAAACGCTGTTTATTGGCGGTTTAGTTAAAAAACGACTTATATGAAGCTCCTGATGACTTGTTAGATTTCCAGCATGTAATGCATGTCCGGCGTAGCACAGTCTGATGTAGTGGATAAAAATTACGGCTACAGCAAATCTCACAACGCAGCCTGGTTTTTTAATGGAAATTATATATATATATATATATATATATATATATATATATATATATATATATATATAACGAATTTATTGACTACATAAACGTAAACATGACCATTACCCCAGTCTGCGATACATCAAGTTGAAGGGACAAGAGTGAGTATAATTCCTCACGTACTTGGGGCTTGGTAATTCGGTCGATGTGTCTCAAGTACTGTCATTAGCATCACTGATTCATTTACTAAAAAATGGATGGATGGTTTGTATACTATAGACTAGGAGATTGTCCTCACAAAATAAAAAAGATTTAGTGTCAGTGATGCTACTATCACTATCAATGGATGGCAGCAAACGTTTTCGCGAGCATTTAAGACATTACAAAAACTAAGATATTCAGGTGCATTGAGTCCCTGTACACTGCTGTGACCACGCACAACAAAACATGCCGTTCAGCATGGCATACAGTAACCACTATCATTTTCATGAGCTTGAGTGTACCGATCGGTTTCTTTGCGCTTGCCTCTTGTCGTTTGATATGATTCCAAGTACTTGTTGCTGTCCAGTGAGTGGTAGTCCAAACATTTTTGATTGAACCAGTTGTATTTGATTTGATAGTTACTTGGGGATTCATATATATCGTAGTTCGAGCAAGTGCCCTCATCTCCGAACAGTAAGAATCCTGGATACCAAGAAGGAGGTTAGTTGGTCGCAATTTGAAAATAATCAAGTGAAAATTCGAGTCCTAGGAGGGGAAGATCGTCTCAGGAAATGAATAAAAATTTAGTTCTGTGGTAATCCAGGGTGTATGAGAAAATGATAGTGCAAGAATAAGATGGGAAACAGAAGCGATTATTACTTAATTACTTACACCTGTTACTCCTAATGGAGTATAAGCCACCGACCAGCATTCTCCAACACACTCTCTCCTGGGCCCCCTGTTCTAGTTTTATCCAATTTCCGTTCATTTTTCTCATATCTGTCTTCATTTCTCGCCGTAATGTGCTCGTTGGTCTTCCTCTTTTCCTTTGACCTTCAGGATTCCATATGAGGGCTTGTCTTGTGACGCAGTTGGGTGATTTTCTCAAGGTATTTCCAATCCACTTCCAGCGCATCTTCCTGATTTCTTCCTCCGCTGGGATCTGGTTCGTTTTCTCCCACAGTAGGCTGTTGCTGATTGTGTCTGCCCAACGGATCTGAAATATTTTGCGTAGACTGTTATTAATAAACGCTTTCATCTTCTGGATGATGACTTTCTTGGTTCTCCAGGTTTCCGCCCCATACAGTAGGACTGTAGTGGCATTGGACCATAACCACACAATCCTCAAAGCTGAACACGAGACAACTCGGAAAATATATATTCATATTGTAAGATCCATTTTGAACGGATCTGTACGTGATCTATCCAGACAGGATAGAATAACATTTATTTGTGGTGATTGGTAATTTTCTTGCATCCTTTATCAACTTTCTTATTTATTGTAGTTTAGATTTGATCAATTGAACAATTATTGGTTGGATAGCTGAGTGGTTATATTTGTTTAGGTAATAATGTACACTTAAATTTATAATAAATTATAGAACCGTCATTTTACCCAATTACTTTGTTTTGGTTTCAATCGGGCGAGGGCGCGTATCTAACTCATCCAGACAGCTGTCCTTCACTCCAAACCGTAGTTTGGATTTTACACATATATTTACCGAGGAGAAATACCCAACGAGGGAGAAGGCAGGAAGAATGAGTTGAATTAATTGAAGTTGATCGAATGGCAAGGCTTGGCCATGCAGGCGTGTCCCCACCTGAATGCTACCTTATATCTTTTATTCATATTAAATATTTTGTTCTTTCTCTAGCCTAACCTTGTTCTACGTCATGTATTGGGGGTTGTTACGATACGATGAGTTGGTGTAGACGATGGTATAACTTCTATGTAAGATCTTATAGATTAGGCAGTTATACCATGACAAGTCTAGAATTTTAGGATCAGGTCTATTATTAACGCAGTACCGGGATCATAGTAGACCGTAATTCTACAGGACTGTCTTGACATTTGTATTGAAAATTCTGACCTTAGTGTTGGTTGACAACTGTTTTGAGTTACAGATCTTCTTCAATTGTAGACATGCTGCTCTTGCTTTGCCGATCTAAGCCTTCACATATGCGTCAGATCCCCTGTGTTCATCAATGATGCAGCCCAGATATGGGAAGGCTTTGACACCCTCCAAAGATTCTCCGTCAAGTGCGATTTGATTGTTGCATGTTGTGTTGTGCCGAAGAACCTTCCTTTTCCCTTTGTGTATGTTGAGACCTACTGCTACTGGGGCTGCCGCTGTCCACTGTATCCCATGCTTGTTGACGTTTTCATAATCCATTCGATTACCAGGAGAAAGAGAAAAGGTGAGAGTAAGCACCACCAGTCTCTACTTCGAATGAGTTTGTCAACTGCCCTCCATGCACAATTTTGCAGTTTAATCCATCATAGGAATTCCGTACGGTATTGACTACCTTCAC